GTGATCAGAAAATTCATGTTGAGATTGAAATTTTAGTACACATGTAAATAAGTGTAACTTTTTTTCTAGGCTCTCTTCTTTTGGAGTCCAAAATTAACCCGAACACTGCGTACCAGAAGCAACAGGTAAACATACTTTTTTCCCCCCCCTCACATTTAAAGGCAGGTTCTTTAACTTGAGCAACACAGTAATTTTTTTGCCTTTATTGCAAATCATATTGTATGTTCTTGTACCAAAAATAGGAGGCAAAGTAGTTCTCAACATTTTTGTGCATTTCGTGATACATGTGTGTTATTTCTCCACATTTTTTGTGAAGTTATATAGATAACTTGCACTCTGTTTTACACCAAAAAGTGCTTTGGGAGAGATGGGCAAAGCATAGTTGTGAAAATCACAAAGTAGCTGAGGTTCCTGAGGGTTATAGTATCTGAAACTTAATATCATCTGGCCTTTTTCTTCTTTATATTTCAGATACTACAACTTTCAATGTGTTTTATTTAGGAGAAGACTAGAAGGCTTTAAAACTATTTGCATGTTTATCTTTGTTTGGCTTTTACTTGGAAGATGGATATGGGTTACTACTGCTTTAAAGCATTCTGTATACATAAAAGCAGCTTCTCACCTCTAGTTTGCACCTTGCTTTAATTATTTAAGCCATACATTGTGAGCCTCTAAAGAATGCTACTGAGATGGGTGAGAAACTGTAGGTCTTGCACTTTGTTTGCTGTTCTTATCTCACGGATGCTGAGAATTACCCTTAGAGGTTTAGAAATGCTGAACCAGATTGTATTTTGTTGCCTGTCTGGTCAGCTCAGACTTGCTAAAATCCTGTCAGGTACAGTTAATGTATTAAAACACTCTTCAGTCTTCAGCTTTAATAGTTTATTATAAGCATAGACATACTGTAGTTTTGCTCACGGGCAGTCCCACTGGTTGTGCAGCTGCAGCTGTTTGTAGGATTGTATGTAGAACTGAATAGGGAGAACCAGCCTGGGTTTAAAATACCCTTCCTTGGAAAATTTAACCTGTATCTGCCCTTTGATATAATTCATCATGCACCGTATACACAGTCTGTACTGAACAACTGGTAAGGCCAATTGATTCAGGAGAATCAATTGCAGGAAGTAAGAAAGGACAAGACCAGCAAAAATGCGAAGTGAACTAACTCTTAGTTGTAATCCTGACTAGCTTGAGGTCATGGTTCTATGATGCAGTAACTCGAGCTTTAGGACTCCTAAAATGACACTGAATATTTCACAGCTCTATGGCATAAAGCACTGATCTAGTGTAAACTTGCTTTGCTGGTTCAAATCTGTTCAAAGAACATTGAGGAACAAGCTTTGTGTCAGTAGGCTTTATGCCAGATCAAACATGATCAAACTGCTTAAAGTAGGCATAAAATTGTAAGATCAGTGCAAACGACCACACATGCCTGTCAGTGCAACAGCATTTCATATCTGCTCATTGTTACTCTGGGTCAGACGTGTATTGTAGCCTAGCACTGCACAAATCAATACTGTGATTGTGAGAATGTGGTTAGAGAAATAAAATACTAAACACGAATCTGTCCTGTTAGAACAGCGCTGTATGGTTTCTGTACTGGAGAAGGAATAGTTCTTAAAGCTTTCACATGCTGCATAGACAGAAATTTATACTTGCAGGTGGATTGTTCATATTATTTAAGCAAAGCAGTATCTAATACAGATTGAGTGTAGGGCTCCACTCTGAGCCTTAGAAATACCACATCTTTCTTGATGCATGTATTAATCCTACTTTGTAGCATGTTATCTTTCAGGTGAGGCCTACTTGTCCTTTCCCTTAGTAAAAGTCAAGTTCAGAGTTTAAACCTGATTCCATATGAGCTAAGCTTGGAGCTTAGCAGCTGAAAGGAAGAGTTGCTTCTTTCCAGCTCTGCTCATAGAACTCTGAACTGCCTAAACTCACTAAACCACAAAAAAATCAATTTGGTACTCCAAATCCCTCTTCAAAAACTGGTAACTCTCTACGTCAGCAGAATTTTCAAGCCACCTCACACAAGATCCATTTGTGGAACTGTGGGATGGAAGAGTGAGTGAGATCTTCCCTTTTTGGCTGCAGAATGCCGCTTAGATCACCTCAGCTACTAGTGAAATTGCAGCCTGAGGTAGAGGACTTGCATATGAGTTTGCCTGCAGTTGTCAGTTGCACTTACAAAATTTCAAGAAAAATCTCCTAGAAACATAAGATTTAAAACTTCAAAGTAACTTTCCAGTGTTACGGTCTTACCAGCCTTTTATCTTAAAGTTTTGTTGCGAGGGTGAACCTCCATTCCCTTTTAAAGGGGTACATAGCAGTCCATCAGAGCTGTTTTTATTGTGTCATGCTTAGCGTGTGGCTTGTGGGCATTTCAGATATCTAATGGAATAAGTGGATGAGTTCTGACTTTTGTCTAGGCTGACATGAGGCTTGTAAGAAGAAAAAATCTTTTATTGGACCAACTAACATAATTTGTGGTTGGAAGGAAGGAGAGATGTGTGATAGTTAAGCTCTTTGGGGAAACTTGCTATGCCAGTTGCTTTGGGTTCTTCAGCAAGCCTTTAGATACCTTTGTGATAAACAGTGAAATTCTTCTGCTGGTGAAAGAACCTTCTACCTATGCTGCACTATTAGTGCTAGTGTGAAACAGATTGTCTCAGTAATTACTGATATCACAGATTATGCAATCTCAGCCTGTACATATGTATATTTTAATAACTGTCACAGCTTAGATCGTATTTGTCAAAATAATAGTGTGAAGACCCAAGTACAAGTTTGCCTTGCTGCCCCTGTTCTCTTGGTGTGTAAAACATCCATAGAAACCACAAAAAAAAGCCCAACCAACCAAACAAAAAAAAACCCCAAACCCCATACCCTGTGAACCTGAGCTTCAAGTAAACTTTTAATAAATTGTCTGCTTTAGATTTCTTGGGTTTTAGGGTTGAAAGCAATGACTGCCCTTTAATGTGGATTAATCAGGTCTCTGTGTGCACGTAAATGTTGATCTAATTGGTGGTAGATAACAACTGTCTGCTTTTCCCTTTGGAGAGGAAGAATGCTTGGCAGATCTTGAGACCTGCTCGGGGACTCATTTTTCATACATCAACATGGTCCTGAGATACTTCAGTTTGCACAATCTAGTCCCTGGTCTTCCCAGACTTACTGGCCATCTAGAGGTTTGAAATAATTTCTTAAAGCATGGAACATGTAGGCAGTCTTTTAACTACCTTTTCACTAGTCAGGTAAATCAGATTAGTCTTTCTGTCACAATGAATAGTCATTTTCTGCTGTGCGTTCAAAAAGAAAGATATGTCTATGTATCTGATTCTGTAACAAAGAATTGCTACCAGTGAAAGGTTTTGGATGCTCTGAACTGTGTACTTCCTGGCAAACTCATCATGACTTATACTAGAACTAGAAGAAAGGAATCCATGTGAGGAAAACAAACTAGAAAGAAACTAATGTCCTGTGGCTCAGAAAAAGGACTAATACTTCTTATGTTAAGGTACAAGTTGTAGGCAGAAGATTTCTTCTGAAAAAGCAAAATGTGCATCAGTACATCAGCCACTCGGCCTCCTGACTTGTGTTCTTGTTAGGGCTATATGTTAAGTTTTATTGGTATTCTTATTTTAAAATGTTACAATAATGGTCCTATAACTTTGGTGTGGAATATACTGGATTTAATCATGGGTAAGTAGCTCACAGCTTAAAAGCAAATTTTGTTTAGTAAGTGGAATTTAATTATACTATGGGTTGCTGGACCACACATGGACTACTTAGTTTTCCTCTTCTGTTGTTGGTTGTTTTCTTAATATACTAGCAAAGGTAGAAGATACTTTAATTATAATGTCCTGATGAAGTTGGTTTATACACTTCAATCTATGCTCTGGTTTTTTACGTTGTTGTTTGGTTTTTTTTTTTAAGGCATTAAAATGACACAATTCCAGAATGCTAGTGACAGAGGTGCTGTTCTTAAACAAGTGATCCTTATCCAGAAAATGAATAATTGCACTAGTATTTTAGGACAACACACCTCTTCCTATGCAACTTTAAAGGAGAAATAAACTCTATATACATAGCATTTATCTAGGGAGAAAGTTGGTAGAGGTGTGGACTGGGGTATATATTTTTCAGTATACTTTGGCAATGCTTTAGCAATAGAACAGTAAAGACTTATATCCTCAACTTTATTTTAGATACATCCATGTACATCCTGTAATCCAGTGATGAAGTATGTATTGCATCCCTTTTTGTGCCTGAAACAAGGAAGACTTGAGTTGCTTCCAGCTACAAAGTCTTGCCTCTGCACTAGAAACTTCAGTGTCTTGTGTCCTCTGCTTTTGCAGTCCCTTTTTCAGTTCCTCACAAGAATACAAAGCTTAAATTCATCCAGAGTACCATCTACTAGCTATGTAGCTTGAAGGTCGCTATCCTTCAATGATGGAGAGCAGACTTATTAATAACAAAGCTAAATTTTGAAAAGATCCAGAAAGGCACTGGCAGAATGACAGAGAAGATGAACTTCCTACCCTTGCTGTCAGGACAAGCGAGCCAACAGTGAAACTATTTCAATAAAATTTGTGCCTGTTGTAGCTAAGATAATAAGGAAAAGCATGTGGTTTTGTGGGGTGAGGGGAGAAACAAGGGGAGAGACTGCTCTTGGTTTTGGGGTGGGTTGGTTCATCTATTTTAAATGATCACATGTTACTTTATCTTCACACGTGTTTTCCTGTGAAATCTAAATTTTCTGCTGTTTCTGAGTATGGTCACTAGGCCGGTGAGTCAAGGTTCTGTTATAGAACTAATAAACTGATTTTATTCCATGTCATTCATGGGTATGCAGCTATGAAATCACTAACTGAAAAGTCACGTATGATTGTTGAGCTTTCATAGAAGCTAATAGAATACATTCTGCCAAAAGACTGAGTGTGCCTTTGATATGTTATTCCAGTTTTTGGGATAACTTGTTAGCACATCCAGAAATCCAGGTTCTAGGTGAACAAACGCACAAAACCAAATGCAGAATTGAAACTTTATATTACATTACTGGGGTGGGTTTTTTTAGCTTGAAGATTCTGCTGCAACCTATCATGATGACTGTATATATTTAACTTAAAAAACCTGTGTAGTACTGGTAGTTTATTTCTTAAACAGAAAGCTGCTTATGAAATAAGCTGCTTTACAGTACTTTTGACTGTAAATAATTAGCTAGCAAGATGCTGAAAGGTGGCTTGGCATGTCCAGGGAAGTGTCTGTAACTGTAAACAATATAAGGGCTTAGTTAAGGAAAACTAGCAATCAGGCAGCCCAAGAGGGGGAGAAACAACCTTCCTCTGTTGAACTTCCAGTGGGACCAGGAAAGTGTCATAGGCCTAAATCATTTGAGGGCTAGTAGAAAGAGATTAATTTGCTTTTTAGACAAAAAGCAAGAATTTATGAAAGACCTGTCTAATTTGGGGGATCACTACTTCTTGAGAGTAGCCTAAATCTCATAGGGATGCCAAGAAAATATTCTGGAGCTACAGAGAAGACTAGTATTCTCCCTGGACGTGAACACCAGTGAGAGGGCATTGTCAAACAATAACAGTTTTCTTAATTTTATCACATTAGGAAAGAAATCTTAAATCAGTTTTACAGCAGAATCAAATCCTGAGTACTAGTTGCTCTGAAAGTCTTCATTATAAAATCCAAGGGCTTGCTTTGGAGATTGTATGATTGCTGTACAACACACCTGCTAATCAGCTTCCTAATAGTTAAATAAAACTGATTTAATATCTAATAAAAGTGTGACTTCTGGTGAGTGTTACGGCGAGAACTTGAGACTGATAGTGTGTATTCAACAACCTTTCTATTAAGGAAAGTAAGCCTTTTGGAAATCATTTCAAAAAGTGAGGAGAAGTCATATGGTAGATGCTAAGCCCTGTCCATCTGAATGCAATTGCCACTGCTTGCTGGCTTAAACTATTGCAGTAGTGTTTTTGAAGATTAGCTTCTTGGGAATGACGTCTCAAATAAAGATGTAGCACACAGTAGTGCTTCCTTGAAAACCTCTAACTAATCAGAACTTGCTCCATGTGGGCTTGATGCAGCCAACAATGAGGCAAGCAGTAGAGAAATGCCCAATTGTATTCTGAAGAAGTTTTGCCTCAGGCTGTATCTTTATAAGGATAAGTGCAAAAAGTTAACCTCCATTGGTAGAAATTATATAGGAATGTTAAATACATAGGTCTTCTAAAAAGAGGTTATGCTCAGAATTTTTGCTTAAAATTAAGAATTCCTGATTATATCTGTGCAGTCATAATGAACAGCAATGTGAAAGAAGACAAATTTATATAAACGGTCTTAGGGAGACAGCAAATTTTGTATGGTCTGAGGTAGTGATGACACATCCAACTGGCACTGTTGGCAAAACATTTTTTTTGCACAGCAGCAAATGATTTTCAAACTCGGAATAAGATCATGAACTCTCCATAAGTTTAAATAGGATTATCATCCTGTTTAAAAAAGATCCTGCCAAGAACTCTAATGCATCTCGAAAAATGTGAGAAGCTAGAATGCTAGGATTCTTGCAGAGCACTCAATATAAAAGCCTTCAATGATAAAACATTTGTCCATTTTTATGACTCATTTCACACAATGTAGCTATGATTTAATACTGCAGTTTCACATTTTAATTGTGTTTAACAACAAGCTAGATAAGAACAAATTTTAGATGCTTGTTTTAGCCATCTCATCCAGTTCCTTGTCTAGAGGCTAACATTTTGTATGTAATGCAAAAAAAGGATATATTTTTGATCAAACTGAGCCAGAACTGCTTTTACGAATCATGTAACACTTAAGATTTTATGGTCATAGGGGGGTAACGTGGAGGACTCATCTCCTTACCTCTCTAACCAATAGCTACTATTACTAAGCATATTTATTCACACTCCCATTTTCTTTTGGAATAGAGGAGGCAGCCTTTCAGGAATTTCAGTTGCTTTTTGGAGTTGCAAGAAGTAATGTTTGGCATTTGGAAGCAACAGACAGTCCTATTCCATAGCTGAGAGATCCAGAGTAGTTAGTGGATTCAAATTACACTGAGGAGATTTCAGATCAAACACATAGAAAGATTCCTTTAAATACAACAAACAGAAACTAGACTTTTATTCCTGTTTTTTTTATCTTTAACTACATCTAGAATTTCCTTCAGTTACATCTCCCTACATGTGTAAGTCTTGTACTGGTCGTCTTTTTGATGATTATAAGCTTTGTAGGATTAAGAAAATGGAATTACATTAATAACTGTCTGCATTTAACAGTGAATTTAAACTTCGACTGAACTCTGTATTATGCAACAGAGTGAAGTGCTTTTCTCACTTTGTTTCATGTTCTCTTTTTAAAAGCCCTTTGAGGCAAGAAAGGATATACAAGCAAATGCGCTCTTACTAAAGATCTGGAGAGTAGCGATTGATAGATTTCTGTTGAGACACTGATATTAATCTATCATATGAAATCCTTGTGGGATAAGGCAACAGATAACTAATCGTTTGAAATGGTTAATGTTGGCAATTGGAAAATACTTTTCTAATATTAATAAACCGAACTTGAAGATTGTTGTTCTGCTGTGCAAACAATCTCTTTCAGCAGTTTTTTGTTTTGCTTTCCAAAGAAGAAACAATTTAAAAAAAAAAATCAGAATATGTAGAGGTGAAAAAATACTGTCTGAACTTCCATGTATGATAGTAGATGATCTTGTTTAACACGAAGAATTGCTATACTATGGCCAAATACACTTCTGTACATCTGTGACTATAGTTTTCAAAAGCAGCTTTACTTTTGTGTCTTCCCTTTCATTCTTCCTGTGCCTGCCTTCCTCCATCCCTCCTCTCCCCAGAGGAAAAAGACAGACCTGTCTTGGTCCAGTGCTGGATTTTATTCAGAGTTAGAGCTTTTGTTTACTCAACTTACTGCAGTTAATGTAAATAACACTGTTCTTACTTGTGTTCTTTTAGTCATTCCCCTATTTGTTAGTCATGATCTTTATAGAGAAGAAAATACCTTTTGATGTTCTTTTGGAAATGGTTTGCTTAGAAATCTAACCATTTCCATTTAAGTGAAAGTGTAATTAGATAGGAATGTTGCAAGTTCTGTTAGGGTCTACCTAAGATTTAGTGTTAGGTTTGTTTTTTTTTAAATGGAATAAGCGCTACTCAGTGGGAAGCTGATGAGACAGTGGCCTTGAAAATTACTGCAGTATAAGTACTAATTGTAGAGATTAATGTGTTAGATTTTGAACCGATACATACAATGAATACTGCAGTAAGGTACCTACCGTTTTTAAAAGATGGTAAAAAAAAAACCCAACACCTTTTCTTTTGGATTTTCCCTTTCTAAATTTTTGTAAACCATTATTTTTCTTACTCTATAGGAGTCAGCAGTACTAGGTGCTCTCAATCTGTTATTACCAGAGTGTTTGCACCATGACCTGTCTTGTAGAGAATAAACTATTAATTGTGACTTTCTTCTTCCTTTTGTATTTTGGAGGTGGTCTTCCTAAATCCCTTTCTTCTGTGTACCACCTCTTCCTCAGTCCTTGGGAAAAGGAAAAGGTAAACTATTTGCCATTTGCAAGGTAAAGCTATTAGTGCCTCTGAAGCAGTATAGCTGCTCTGGTAATGGCAAATTGATTATATTCATTGCGTGATTGAATCCTAATGGAGCTAACTGATCATGCTGTTTAGATTATAGTTTAGTTTAAGGAGTTTTCTAGTAAGTGCATATTGAAATCTAAATGTAAGATTTCTCTTTATCCTCAATGCTCATTTTAGTATTTGAAATAAATTAAGCCTAATTAATAAACTGTCTTAAACTTTATAAATGTCTGGCAACTTATAGTGCTTTAGCACATATTTAAAATTAATTCCTTTAGGAATAATCACTATAAGCAAAATCTATACTTAATGAATCAAAAATTTCTCATTGAAATGTAAGTAGAAAAAATCTCATGTCACTTGTCCGAGTGAGTAAATGCATGTTTTAGCACTTAACTGAAATAATGCAGTTTCATGGGGCTCTATATATTTAATGTGGCTATATTTGAGCTATCTGTTATAGGAAGACAAAAGACTTTTAAAATAAAACTTGACTCAATATGTAAATAATGCAGATTATATTTTCTTCTCTTTTTTTTTTTTTTATTCTAACAGTTATTTAGCAGACTGTCTGTAAACTACTGCATCAAATACCTTATCAGTGTGCGATATTGCTGTTTGCAGCATCAGCTTCCACTTCCGTATATTGTTTTTGCATGCAATAGGAGGGCTCTGATAAACTCTTGAACTATTCTAGTAAGTAGATGAGAGCTTAAGTGTCTGGGTGGTAAACATAGCTAAGCACAGTTTCTACTAACTTCTAGAAATCTAGGGCGAAACATCCTGTCAGAATTGTATTTTGGAATGAGTAAAAAATGGTGTTGTGTGCTTCAGTGTAATAGGTATGCACTCTTACGCAGTTAACTGTGTGCATATGCAAGTTTCTGTTCTTGTTTACAGCTTGTAGGCATCTTGGGGCTGCTTTTTAAGCAGCTGTTCTGTCCATTAGCACAGTGTCTTCTGGGGCCTATAAAATATGAAAAAAATGATTATAACTTTGATCCTACAAAAGATGTGCAATTTTATGTGGTCCAATCGAAACAGATTTAAAACAAAACAGAACAAAAAAACCTGTTGCTTTTGTTACTGTATTTTATCAGAGGATGCATTGAGGTAGAAGTACATATTCTAGATCAATCTTTTTGAGATTTACAATATTATGGTCATGTGAATTAAGAACTAAAACTTCCAGTATCTTTCTGGAACTTCCTTATTCTGATTTATGCGGAAATATTTTTAATCCTAAGATCTCAGAACATATAAAAATCTTTCAAAGTATGATGATTACATTTGTATTGTAATACTGTCTGTCATAATTAGGTGTCAAGCTGTTTTTATTTAAAAATTTACTCTTTAAACACTATTCAGGTTTGTAAAATCTGAAATACGTTGTCTGAAGATACTCTTCCTTTCTTTAAAGGATACCTTGATCGTGTGGTCTGAAGCTGAAAATTATGATTTGGCACTTAGCTTTCAAGAAAAAGCAGGATGTGATGAAATATGGGAAAAAATATGTCAGGTAAGTTTGATAAATGTAAGATTGAGACAACCTAAATCATCTTAATGTTTGTGTTCAAAATTTTTAGACTGTTCTAAGAGGTGAATCTGAACACAGAAGATAGAAAGTAAAAATGATCATCTTAGCCACCTCCCCCAGATTTTGCATTTTTGAGTTGGAAAACTTTCGCCTTCCTCCAGGAATTTGATACGAACTTAAACTATCTTTGGGTTTTTTTTTTTAAGAGCATTTTCAGGCCTTTTTGCTTAACGTAACTTTTTAGCTCTATTATTGCCCAAGGAAGTTTAGCTCAAAATGAGTACTTAAAAAGTTTCATAACAATTAGCTTCATAATTAACTTTTTCCAGGTTGGCCAGAAGGGAAAAGGTTACCTGTCCAAAGTTTTATTGTAGAGAGAGGAACATATGTGAGCTCTTAGTGAATTCTATGATTCTATTTCTCATGGATTTAACCATATTTTATTCATATTTCTCTTTCTACACTTCTCATTCTTTTCTTTCTCTTATCTCATTCTTCTGTTTCAGGTGAGGGGAATATTGAGTTTCTCAACAAAACTTTTTTCCATGTAAATATGACAGTATGCTTCTGTTGACTGTCAGGGTATGAAAGATTGATCTGATAGTTGAAGTAGGCGATAGCTCTATCCCTGTATTACCACCTCAAAGCTAAAATTCTTACAGATTAAAGAAATCAAACAATTTATATATAGCATGCATATGTTTTAATATGTGCTAATTAACTCATTATGTTTTACCACTACGACCGGATGACTATATAGTCACTGAGTCAGTATTGTTTCTGGGTAACATTTGGTCAGGTATTAACTATTGACCAATACCCAAAAGAGTTCAGTCAATATATTCACTGATGTTAGTTCAGTTTGTCAGTTCTTGTTTGGGTTTTTTCTTCCATTCCAAGCATTACAACTTTTCTTAATTTCTATGCTACATTAGGTGGGATTTCTCTAAATTTGTGTAATTCTCTTTCTATGTGCTCTCTCTTTCTGTTCTTAACAAACATCTAGCTCTCTCCACTCTGTCTTTTGGAGTTTATTCTCACTGATTTCGGAAATAAAGCAAAAGAGATCTATACTGAATTGCATATGTATAGATCATTCCTTTTTTAGGAATGAGTCTTTTCAACAGTTCACCACTTATGTAAATAAGTACAGAAACTTATATAAGTAAGTACAGAAACATTTCCAGGAACCTTAGCAGTCAAAGGACCAAAAGTTGGGGACAGAAACAAAATGGGGGAAAGGGGAAATTGTGTTCTTGGGAAACACCCAGATAAGAAGCCCAGCTTCCTCAGCCTCATGTAAAGATCTAATATTTTTGTAAGAAACCAGTGTCTTTACATCCTGTTTTGAGGCCATGCTATTGTATTTGTGTCTAGTGTACTTTAAAGATCTTAAGCTTCCTCAGTCATTAAAGCTGCTTCTAAAAGGAAAACTTTGATACCACTTATGCTGAAAGTGGTTGCTGATGTATAAGCAGAACAGTATGTGGGTTTTAACAGCATTCTGGATTTTAATCTAAGTATAGGCTTGCAGTTATCCATGAAGACTTATTTCTCCCAGATTTTTTTTGCTGATTTTCAAGATTAAAAAGAACAGTACCTTCTACCGTTGTACACAGCAGTGCCTTTCTGGATTTGACATATCAGACTCCAAGCAGATACTACAATTAAGGTGTCATTAAAGCTGAAACATTCTGGTGCCCAAGCATCTGTCTCTTTTTTTCACTAATTCATACTTCCTACAGTTTCCTCGTTGTACCTCTAGGGAGAGCTTTGCAGGTCCTGTGCCTTGTTTTTCTGACGGCTCCAGATTTCCGCTACAGTTTTGTTAATGTTGGTTTGGGGTTTTCTGTTCTTAGGAGGCGATTCTGTGCCTCTGTTGAGTATTTAGAAAGTGCACGGTAACGGATTTTGACTTGCAGCTCTCCAGAACTGAAAACAACAGATTAACAAAACTAGCCTCTCTCCTCTGTTTGAGGTAGAAGAAGCTTTGAAAAGCATCAAGAGCAGTTAAATAGCCTACAGATAAATGTTTAAAGCTGTCACTGCAATAATGTAATGCTGGTTTGCATTTGAAGATCTGTCTGCAGAGAATAAAGACTGGAAACAAATAGCTTAGTTCAGTAGTCTATGAAAAAGTTGTCATCCATACTAGTAATTGAGAATTTCCTTTTTTATTTGAAGTACTCAGAAAATGTAGCTTTTTTCTTTATTATTCCTCCTTTTTATAGAAAATAAATAGAATTAAATATCTAATGTAGAAATAATTTTGTAAAGCCTTCTGTTTGAAGAAATCCTTTCATTATCTTTTATTTTTCAAACCCGTTGTACTCAATGTCAAACTTACATTTGCACTTCTGTTTTGGCCATACAAAGAAAAAGTGTGTAACATTTGAAATGGTATTTTTAAAAAAGCGTTCAAGTAGCAGTAAACATTAAACTCCACTTTTTTGAACACATCTTATTTTGTAGGTTCAAGGCAAAGACCCTTCCGTCGATATTACTCAGGACCTTGTCGATGAATCTGAGGAAGAACGTTTTGATGATATGTCATCACCAGGTCTAGAATTGCCATCTTGTGAATTAAGTCGACTAGAAGAAATTGCAGAACTTGTGGCATCTTCACTGCCTTCACCATTACGTCGTGAAAAACTCGCACTAGCACTGGAAAATGAGGGCTATATTAAGAAGCTCTTAGAAATTTTTCATGTGTGCGAAGACTTAGAGAACATTGAAGGACTACACCACTTATATGAAATTATCAAGGGAATTTTCCTTTTGAACAGAACTGCACTTTTTGAAGTCATGTTTTCTGAGGAATGTATAATGGATGTAATTGGATGCCTAGAATATGATCCGTCTTTATCACAGTCACGGAAACACAGGGAATTTCTGACTAAAACGGCAAAATTTAAAGAGGTGATTCCTATATCTGATCCAGAGCTGAAGCAAAAAATACATCAGACATACAGAGTACAGTATATTCAAGATATGGTTCTACCCACTCCCTCAGTTTTTGAGGAAAATATGCTATCAACACTTCATTCTTTCATCTTTTTTAATAAAGTGGAAATAGTTGGTATGTTACAGGTAAGTTTTCAGAATTTCACAGTCTCTTTATTTGCGCTTGGGCAGAGAAAGTTGGATAATTTTTCTTGGAAAGATTGAGGTGCTTCGGTGGAACCTTCGCTTCTGTGATTCTGAAAGTCGTTTTGAAGTATGACATAAACGGCAAGGATTTGAGTACTGAGCTGTTAAATACATGTTCTTAAATTTCAGATTTTGGACTAGATTCTCTGTAACTGCTTTAAATGGAGCAAACATATGTAGAATCCTGAATGAGGTTGTTTGGAATGAATAGTACTGTTTGCATTTTGAAGGATTGATTTTGTTAGCAGTTTTTTTTCTGTATTTTGGGACTTTTTAGGCACTACAAAAAAAAAAAAAAAATCAGAGTACTTCACCTAAATTTCACAAATACAATCTCATACCAGGATATAACTGTTTCTAATTTTGAAGTAAATTCATTTAGTTGTTTGGAAAGTACAGGTTCAGACCATAACATTGCCTTAGGTGCTTGAATGTTTTCTTAGTTTGTCTTATAAGTCCCTAAATAATACTGCTTGGAATGACCAGTTTTTCATGACTTATGTCTTACTGCAAATGTAAAGAGATTATATGATGCTTTAGATATCTTACCTACATGTCTTAAGTATTCTGCACCAACCCATGAACTTCCTGAACTGTGTAGAAATAGGTAGCACATCTCTGTAATGGGAGCTTCCTAAAGCTTTCAGCTAACTCAGCAAAGTGTTACAGCACATGTATTTTGGTTTGTAGAAGTTAATTATCATTATCTTAATTCTCCTAACGTTTAATAAATGAATAGCCACTGTCTTTGTAGGGGCTGTCTGATCTGGAGAAATGGATGAAGTGCTAGATGCTACTGGTTAACTTAATCATATTTATCTTCAGTTGAATCTCAGAATGCACCCTGTTTAATTTCATGGAAAATACAGCAAAGCAGAGTGAAAATTCCTTTTGCAAGCTTATACAGCAAATCATTGTCAAAACTAGGCCTCCCGACTTTTCATCCACCACACTCAGTTGATCCGAATACTGATATTATTTAATCCACTCTAGGAGTTTTAATCTGTCATGTCTACACATGGAGCATTGATAAGCAGCCAGATGTGCAAGACATCACCCAGGCCTGGCAGCTGAGGCATGTGCCTCGCTTATTGGAGACAGACCATGGGAGGCCTGGTGGAACACCTATGGCATCTTCAGTAGCACTAGACCCCAGCTTATGCCCGACTGAACCAAACTCTTTATGTCTGTATGTGTGTCCTTGATAAACCAAGTTAGAAATGGCTATCTGAAACAGTCAGAAGGCCTTAATTATTTTCGAGTGGCCAGTTTGAGAAAGCTTACAAGCCTGACTTTGAGAGAGTACTGAAAAAGATGCAGTTAAGAGGTCTCAACTTGAGTATCCAGTATGACTAGTGTCTTTAAAATATCTTGGCCTCTTTGCAAGGGTTGCTAAAAGCAAAGTCCTGAGGATGATACATTTTGGCCTGAGGAGCAGGAGGGGAACAATTATTCAGGAGTCTTGGTGTCAGTGGCTGATTCTGAGAGGGATCTTGAACTTTGAAAAGGAAACCGGGCAAGGAGAAAGGGGACTTGGTCCTGCAAAATCATTAAGGGCATGTTTGCCAGAAATCCCGAGGTAACTTGGTTGAGGACTAGTGGCTGAGTAGTTTCCTGTTTTCTGTCTCTTACAGCCTTTGTTAGGTTAATAGATGTAGGGTGAGCTTGGGTTAGAATATTAAGGTTTAGTGTGGTTGTGAAACTTGTTAGTTGCTGTTTACAATTGAAATAGAGGCTCAGATCTGATTTTGATTTGTTGTGTGACCGCAGGTTTCTGAACCTTATCTTCACTTCTGTTGCTGTTGTCTATGGTTGAGAATAAAGCATGCTCTCTGTGCAGTGGAGCCAGAAGAATTAGCATCGCACAACTCTCAAAGTTAGATAAATATTTCAAATTGTTCAAGTGCTTTCTACAGGTTTGAGGAGCCAAGAGTGGGAGCACACAGGGAAGAAAATATATCCTGTGCTATATTGCATTCCCTAGTCCTCTCACAGTATAGCTCTATAGCATTGAGGGAGAGCTCCCTGAGTTTTTATAAATAAGAATGTTGGGAATTATTTGGCATTGATGATCAGTTCTTGGTTTTGAGAGAATTAAGAGGCTATCACAAAGTATATGCCCGTTGCATTTCTAAGAGATTAAAAGGCTTGATTGATTGATTGATTTTTCAAGTTCTCACAGCATAGCTCTAAGCCAAGGTGTAAACCTACTATCCTGGCATTTATTTATTGATTTATTTATAGAGTAATATGTCAGGCTGCACTTTTCTGTAATCTCTGCCCCCTAAAGTTTCATTCTCCCCTTACCTTTCTCCACCCTCCCATTCCCACAGTCCATGTATAAAATGTATGATACTGTTCCTTCTCATTTCTTTAAGCAGAATAAATAATGTTCTGAGAACAAAATTAAAAGACTGTTTTTGTTGATTTCACTTCTATAACTAATTTTTAAGGTCTTTCTTCCATTAGCGTATGGTTTACATGCGTTTCTGTAGCTGGTTGTATCACAGTGCTTTGGTGGGGGTGTGTGTGTTATTTCATGAAAGATTTAAAGTTGTCTGTAATTGGAGTTCCTGGCTTTCATTATTTCAGATCTTAAGAGATCCTGGTGCTCGCTAACCTTATGTGTGTACTTAAGAAGCTGTTTCTTTTATAAGTCATTATTAATTTAAGAGTTTCTGGGATGCTTCATGATAATTTATTGGGAGCCACGGATGAGTCTCAAGTTCTTAGTTAGTTGGTGCGTAATACAGGTTGTTATGCTTCTGCTGTTGACTTTAGGTTGTCTTTCCTGGACCATTGAGGGTGTGACAAAAGACCTATCTTTTTAGGAAATTTTACTTCTCAGATTAAAAGTAAACTCCCTGAGCAGCTGGTATCCTGCAACATACTGCAACTATTGTGTGTACAACTGAGTTGTTTTATATTCTGTTCTTTTCTCTCTCACTGGCTCTCAGCCCTTTTCATGTCAGGCTCATGTATTAACTAAAGCGGCACTTTGCAATACCCTCATCTCAAATTAACTCAGCCATACTTTAGTTACAGAAAAGTGACTAGAAATTTGTACAAGACTCTGCAGATTGTGCCTTATGCTTTTTGACAGGCTGGGTGATTTTACTCAAAATTACCACTGTGTCTTATTTAAGGTATTTGGTGTCAAGATAGGACATTTAAGGTCATTAAAGGTCACTGACATTTAAGGTCAGTTTTTCAATTATAACTAGTGAGTTCTGTAAATAAGAATATGCTGATTCTTAAGAATTCTGGCTTTATTAGGAGAGATTTTGGACGTCTTTAAAAAAAAAAAAAGGTTATAAATTCTGTAGTCGGGGAAAATACCTGCTTCCATGATTTTGCTTTCTTTGGTAGGTAAATAACTTTTGCCCTTTCTGTGGTAAAATCAAAAACAGAGAATGGGTCACCTTTGGCACTTAGGGTTATGAACTGTGTTCCTGCCTCCTCCTTCATTAAGGTTAGCTTTCCCATAATCTTTATGAAAATGCTTACACTGGTGGGCTTTTCTGAGAAATGGAGGTTAATTTATTTGTGATTTAATTGTCTAAGATCTGTCACTTTAAGTAACTATGTCAGGATCTCACTGAACTGGATACTGTTGGTCATGATGCATAGTAAACCCACAGTACCACTATTTCCAGTCTACAGAATTAACTGCTGTGGAAACCTATTCAGTTACAGGTTTTCTGATTCGCTGTATGTAAGATACGGAAGAGGTATATAATATTTTTTTCCAATTTCAGCCCCTCCTAATATGCTCTTACTGCTTGGGCTCCAGCCTGTTCTAGTCTTGAGATGTCATAGCCACCAAGAAACCTTGCTGAAACATGGAATTCGCCAAGTTTTGAGAGTGGGGGTGGGACAGGTAAGTGGTGTTTCTTACTTTATATGACGCTCTTTTGCAATTTTAAAAATATATACTAATGTTCACACTGGAGGCCACCAGTTCTTTCCCTTTGTATTATTAACTAGTTCTTAAAAACCAAAAACTTGCAAAACTGCGCCATAGAGTGAGCAAACACTGTTTCCTCCTGTTCTCTCCCCCCTTTCTCATTGGCGTGTTCTTTTTGCCAGCAAGATCCTGTGGTGTTTTTATCTTCCAGAATACAGAATATTGTTAGGATTACTTTTGAGTATGTGCATTTAGACTTCAGAGTCCTTTATTTTCAGGAGACTGGAGAGCGGAAGGGGAAAATTGGATATACGTTAAAATAATTTATGCGCTTAGTAGAGCAGCGATCACATGGCATTACTGTACTGGTAAATCAGCTTTTTTAAATACAGAAATCATATTACTGATAGTCCCTATCCCCCTTTTCAATAACTAAAAAATTGTAGGCATTTAGGTACATCTGTATATTTTACTGGATTTATATATAAGAATAGGCTGTTTTTTAATTTTCAAAGTGGTTTTACAGATAGTTACTTATTCTTAACAGAACCCCATGGATGTAAATCTAATTATCTGTAGTTGTTTCAGAGGAAGAATTGTGTCAGTGTGTGTTGGTAGTTTTGCCCAAATGGATTAGCATCGGGACGTCTCCTGCCGGTCTGCTGTTTTGCAGTAGTTGGCTCAGGAATAACTCTGGAGATTTACTTTCAGCAAAATTTACCTTGCAATGAAGTGTAAAAGGATGCCACTTTCTCGGGGAAATGACTTAGTGAAAGAAGTTTGCAAGTGGTGCATGCTAATGATTTCTGAGATTAACTTTTTCATTGTGGAAAATGAATTTCAATGTGTACAGAAGCTCCAAATGTGATCAGGTGGATCCCGCTGCTGTTTCAGCGTGTTATCTCAAGTGGAAATAGCTTATTGGTAGCGAATGAAGGCATGTGTGGGAAGACAGCCTGAGATAAAGGAGGTTGAAACATTTTAACTATGAAATCTTCTGGTGTGGTAGCAGGAAGGAATGTGTGTTTGAAGCTGTAATTCTCTGTTTGCTGGTAATATTTTATGAAACTTTCACTTTCTGGGCTGAAATATTATTTCTGCCTAAAATTAATATGGAGGTGGAAAATAGGATGGAAAGTGTACTCTTTTCCAGCTTAGGTGTCATTGAGTTTCCTGATTTTTTTTTTTTTTTTTGAGAAAGGGATGTTTTTTGTCATTTATCTGTAATCACAGTCATGAAGTATCTGATAACTGAAAGTTAATTATATTTAAGAGAGGCCTGCTTTTGAAGAATGCTTTTTTAAAGTGCCTTTTGGGAGGAGGAGGGCTGCTTTGAAAGTTGAATCACAAATGTAAATAGTGTCTTTTTTTGTGATCCTACTTTGTCTGTGGGTTTTCTTGTTTTTAAAGTCATAAATGATTGAGTGAGTAGATGGCCTGGCTTAATTTTATCTTCATGAACTCTGAAAGGTATTAAATCCTAGGAGCATTTACTTAGATCTTGCAAAAGCATAAATTAATATACTTAGTGTTTGGTATATGCATAGTTCATGTATTGCACACTTAATAATTTCTGTGCATGGAGAAAATAGCTAGATTCTACAATTATCCCATAAACTATTGTTTGCATTTTTGGGTTTTTTTGGGAAAAAAAAAAGCTGTGGCCTTCACAGCTCCTAAGATACATCCAAATGGGTTTTGATACTTGTCTGCATGAAGAGGCCAGATGCTGCAAAGAATTATGCATTTGCTCTGTGTTCACAGACGTATTTTGGGGGATTTTTGCAAGTTGGAAAATAAACAGAAAACACTCAAGCTTGTGTAATTCTAGCATTCGGTGTTGGTGCTTTGTGACTTCTAAAAGATGTGAACTCTGCTCTCAGACTGTGCATTTCCATAGATTCTGGTAGTGTTGTTCAGGAATGCATCTTTAGATATGCTGCCCTTGTCAGTAATTTAGAATGTTCATTGCAATCAGCGTTTTTCGATAAATGTGAGAGGGTTGGGGTTTTTCCCATCAATAACAACCTGTCTACCTTTCATTAAGCATCTGGAATGAGACAGCGCCTAAGCGCATTTCAGGGCTAAGACATAACTGCAAAGTTAGTAATAAGTTGTTCTTATTTTCTTGGAATAACTGCCATTTACTGCATATTATCCGCGTAAGGGCGGGATGTTTCGAATCACTCGGATACATCTTAATTCATCTGATTTTAAATAGATCACAGTTGTTCTGAGGCCTAGAGATTTCAGGTAATCCTATTAATTTAAAAATACAATGTATTTAGTGGAGTTTGGGAGAGGAGGTGGTGTGGGAAATGCTTCAATATTATATTTAATACAGAATTGTGAAATACTGTATTATAGTATATATGAGGAGGGTTGAAAAATGGTTACATACTGAACTTCTGAAAATTCTTCCTGAAACATTAAGTGTCAGCATTGAAGTCTTCATCAATTCCCAACATTAGGAAGTCCTCTCTACAAGTCCCAAATGTTTGCAAGCCCAGTAACAGCGTGAGTGGGTTGGCCTCTGCTGCAGATGGCCTCATCTTGAACCGGGCAGGTGTGGTGGGATCTGGTTGGAGAGCTAAGCTGGGGTCCTGCCCAGCAAGGCCTGCTTGCCGTGCTCTGGTTAGTGCTGGAGGTGCAGCTTTCCTGGCCACCTCTGTCTCTGGGGCTCTGCAGTGGGTCATAAATGAGACCCACGTATCACCAGCAATGCAGGGTCTCCTCCTCTCCTTACATATTTTGACTTAAAAAAATAATTTGTTACTTTGGGTAATATTGTGTACCTTTTTTATGCAGAAGCACACGAATCATGGCTCTGACGTATCTAAATGCTGAAATTTCCATTATTTTTTCCCAGTGATCATTCTGAGATATTTCTGTGGTATTGACTTGCACTTACTGTAAGGTATTATGAAGGAGGTGAAAAGTTCATTTCACAGTAAGAATAGAAACAGGGGTTACACTTTCCAGTTGGGCATAAGCATGCATCTTCTCAAAAGTTTTGATAGATGAGATTAATTTTACATCTTGATCAAAATAGCAAAAAGAGAAATGAAAGCAAACTACTTAGCCTTTTCTTAAATGCACTCCTAATGATGGAGAATAACTTGCATGTTCAAAAGAACTGGTTTTTATGGGTTTTGGGTTTTTTTTATTTCAGTAAACAAGTATGCCAATATCTCTACTGTGGGTTAGTTATGCTACCTGTAATGTCTAACAAGTTAAATACTAGAACAGAAAACTTACCAAGCCATATAATAGCTGGATAGCAGGTAGACAAACATCCTTGTATTCTTTCATCACAGCTTAAGTTACGTTTCTTGAAATCAAAGACCTTAATAGTTATTTTGAACATGTTTGACTGTTGAAATCTGAAAGTCAAACTTTACATTTCCAGTGCCTGATCCTCCACAGTGAATTTCAGTAAACTTCAAATGAGGCTTCTCCTATCTCTTTTTGGTTTGATTTTGAAGCAGCCACAGAAATAGCACCTGAAAATCCAGAATCATGCTTTGTTCATTATCACTAGACTGTTGGGTCAGGTTAGAAGCACAGCACAACATCAAACAAGAGGAAACATGTGGCATATCCTAAATATAGGGTTTACCTTATAGTGTGTTGAAATGCCTTGTAGGGTAGTAGCTCACACCAACCTATTTTGGGTTTATCTATGTTGTGCAGTGCCATGTAGAGGTCCTCGATTGGATTGTGACAGCATTATAGCTGCATTAGCATGGTCTGCTATCGGAACTGAGGTACTCATTTTCTCAGCAAGGCTGCAAGGTGAGCCTGGATGAGGTACCTAGATAATCTGCAATATAAGAAGGTTTCTGTGGATGTATCTGAGGTATTTTCATGGTTCTGCTTTATGCTGTGTAAACATAAGCAAGGCAACTTGGGTTTCTAGCACTGTTTTGGGATGGAAGGATATTGCATGTGGTGTTACTGATTTCACAAGAAGGAACACTGGCAGCTTTTTGAAAAAATCCATTCGTATCTGATGTGCAGGTATCTTTTTCAAGGAAGTGCAGTCTTATTTACAGCAAGTGCTGTATAATATTGGGGAAAGGATGGGGGAAGGTTTATTTCTGTTTTAATAATCTTCTGGTTGTTAGGACTGTAAAGGTTATGGGAAACTAAGTATTGCTGCTTCTTTCAGTCTAAATACACGTTTGTAATGTGTTGGCTGCTGTTTGTGGTTTTGCTAAGGTACAGTAGCATGAAAAATAATGGAACGGTTTTTGATTGCTGCCAGGCAGAATGCCCAATAAATGCTGTAGATAATAGGAACAGTTATTTTGATTTGGTTTCTATATTTCACCCTTTTCACAACATTGGGGGGAAGGAATCTCACCTCATTCCACGCAGCTCTCCCTTTGTCATGTCCTTGCTTTAGTTCTGCTGCAAAAATCTCGTATTCCAAAGATACCTGTGTGTGTAGGGCTGAGTGGGAGATCATGTTTATCAAAATATGTAAACAGTTGAAGCAAGGGTATTGTAGTGTGGTTTAGGGGGACGGGCATGTGACAAAGGGGAAGGAAGTTAGAGAAGAAGTCACAGACAAAAGGATGAGAATGGCAGTAGAAAATAGAAAAAGGACAGCCAAAAGGCAATACAAGATGCATCGTAACTGAGAGTGAAGTGTTGGGGGGGGGGGGCGGGGGGGGATTTTTGTTTGAAAATTGAATTAGAAAGTTGATACTGGTATGATTAACGACCATACACAAGTGTATGTTCTCTTAATTGCAGGAGGCATGGTTTACAAGAACTTTATATTATACTTGGATGCCTTTTGATATTGTCAAATAAACAAATGATATTGTTTTGCCTTTGTAGGAAGATGAAAAATTTCTGACAGACTTGTTTGCACAACTAACAGATGAAGCCACAGATGAGGAGAAAAGACAGGAATTGGTAAGAAATCTGTAAAATACACATGAAAGGGACAGTTACTACAAAGTGATATGTGCATCTTTTTTTTTTTTTTAATTACTAACTAGTATATTATTCCTGTTTTCCAGGTAAATTTTCTGAAAGAGTTTTGTGCATTCTCTCAAACACTGCAACCTCAAAACAGAGATGCATTTTTCAAAACCTTGTCAAATATGGGCATACTGCCAGCACTAGAAGTCATATTGGTAAGTCAGCTCAATTTTATTTGTTATAACAATTTTGTTTATCTCCAGAGAGATTTTTTTAAAAACTAAGTATGCCAAATTTCAGTCACGTGGTTTTCTGAAGTGTTTGCTTCATTTGTCTTGTCTTAGCTTGAGATTCAGAACATTTGAAATATTTTTGTAAAACTTTAAAAGCAGTTACAATATGACATTGGTAACTGCCCTGGCATTCTTATATTTTTGTTTTCTCATTCGCTTCCTATTTTTACATGCTTCTTGGTGTACACTTAAGTAAGAAAATAGGGAAGTAGACTGAAGGGCAGGAAAACCATAAAATTTCTTTTGCCCAACTGTTGTCAAATGTACAAAGAAGAGGTTAGAGTCAATTCAGTTTTAGAATACAGTTTTAGTAATAGGTATGACTTGTAAGTAGGAATTAAAAGCTATGTGCTTTCTGCTTTTCACTCCATTTAAGCCTTTTCTTTTAAGAAAACATAAATGATTTTATTTGACTTTTCCAGGGTATGGATGACGCACAAGTACGAAGTGCAGCCACTGATATATTCTCATATTTGGTTGAATACAACCCATCCATGGTACGAGAGTTTGTCATGCAGGAAGCGCAGCAGAATGATGATGTAAGTAGAGGGTCCCCAGAAATCTGTGTATTGTTTTTTGAAATGACTGTTCTATATCTACAACTCTATTAATGACATGAGCCGTAGTTCTGAAGAAGTATGGAATATAGTCATGATGGTTACAGGATACTGAACTACCGTGTTTTTAGAAGTTCTGTTAGTCAGATAAGATGAGTGTTCGCCTGTTTACATAATCTTGTTCCGTTGTGTGTAAAGTAAAACAGGTTACCAAAACCCACCATTTTGGTTAACATCAGCTGTCATAGAAGCAAAACAAAATGTTTTTGAATGATGGCCTCTTTAAAATGTGAAATACAAGTTTCGGTCTTCATCTTGGCATGTATGTGTGTTTTTAATTTACTTGTGAGAAACCTGTGTTCAGTTTACTATCACACACGTTGAAAGTGGAATAATAGTCCTAAGTGTTTAAGAACCCTTTTTGTCAGAGGTTTTTTTCTGTAGCTAATTAATACAGAATGCTAGCACACAACTAGTAGTAAGAAAGGTATTTCAAAGTGGTATTAAGCGGAGAAAAAACATCGTGCTGCCTTTCCCATGGAGGAGATAGATAACGTTTTTTCTTGCATCTAAAAACATGCCAGAGAACAGGAAGCTGCTCGTGCTGTTACTTCTCTACTGGAAGAAAGGGGCAGCTGGGACAGGGAATATTGCTGGTGGTTCCAGCCACTTGAATCTGATGGCTGCCCTCTTTTATGGGGGACAGTGGTAACCAAGCAACTTCAGCGTAGGGATTCCTAAATGTAAATATTATTTTCTATTTTTATGTGTTATTCTTGTTTTCTGCAAATACATGTTGGGGTTATTTTTAGGTGAAAATAATCTCATCTAGTTCAAAAGCATTATAAAATTTACTGTTTGTGGAAGTAAAACTCTTGGTATGTATTCTAAAAGGGGATACAAGTTAAGACTTCAATACTCTGAAAACGCTTCCAGAAATTAGTTGAATTTTGAGACTGTTAAGTATCTGCCTCTGTGCTTTTTATCTATTGGCGTTTCAGTTCAGAATAAATTCTAAATTAAATTGTTAATTTCAGAACCATTTTTAGTTGCTTTGAAAGACTCTTCTTCACTGCTTGCCTTCTTACTGTTGAATCGCTGACCAGAATGTGTCACTGGCATGTAAAGTTAATTTGTTTCTGTTAGGGTTGGGTTTTTTTGTTTGGTAGTTGTTTGTATTGTACAAAGTTTTGATAGAACACTGTTTTTAACCAGGTGGTAACTCTTTTAGCAGATAACTTCAGATTTGGGGCAAGGGAGAAGCATTAGAATTGATTTTTGCTTCTTTTTTTCCACCCCATTAGGATATATTACTCATTAACCTCATTATAGAACACATGATTTGTGACACAGATCCAGAACTTGGAGGGGCAGTGCTACTCATGGGTTTGCTTCGTACTTTAGTTGATCCAGAAAATATGCTTGCCACTGCCAATGTAAGTAAATGCCTTCAAATGAAATTACAGTTGTTTTCTGTAGAGTATTTGGTGATACGTTACATATATAATTTTTTATTATTATTGTTATTCTTTAGAAAACAGAAAAGACAGAGTTCCTGGGTTTCTTCTACAAACATTGTATGCATGTTCTGACAGCCCCTTTATTGGCCAATACTACAGAGGACAAGCCTAGCAAAGGTAATGCCACTCTGGATATTGGGCTCATCAAGGCTGTTCAATGTCAATGTTTAAAATAGAGTAACTGTCAAAGGACATTTTCTGTCTAAAAGAGAATCTGAGACTATGATACGTAGTTTGAAGTAAAATGTTGATTCATGATTTAGTCATTTGAACAATTTATAAGTATAAAATTCAGCAAAGAGAACTGATTTAAGAAGTGAAAAGCACTTGCTGCAGCTTTTGCTTCAGCAAAAATTGTAGTATTTGTATAATTTTTAGTAACTCATGGGGCTGTTTAGTGACATAGACTTGTAAACATGCGTAAATGTTTTTTAAGGTCAGGGATTACTAGACAGGGTGCAAAATTGCCCCTGAGAAGGTGCGTATCACAATACTGTGCTGAATTTGAGGGTGTTGGTTCTAAATCAGACTAAGAAAGTGGAGATCTGTGATGAAGTAACTGTTCTTGCTGGCCACTAGCAGCAGTACTGTTTGTTTATTAATATTATAACACATCCAAAATGGATGTAAAAGGAGGTACATAATGATGCATAAATGTTATGTAAACTTTTGAATTTATTGTTGTCGTGGTTTAACTCCAGCCGGCAACGAAGCCCCACACAGCTGCTCGCTCACTCCCCCCCCGTGGGATGGGGGAGAGAATCAGAAGAGTAAAAGTGAGAAAACTTGTGGGTTGAGATAAAGGTGGTTTAATAGGTAAAGCAAAAGCCATGCACGCAAGCAAAGCAAAACAAGGAATTCATTCACTACTTCCCATCGGCAGGCAGGTGTTCAGCCATCTCCAGGAAAGCAGGGCTCCATCACATGTAACGGTTACTTGGGAAGACAAATGCCATCACTCCGAACTTCCCCCCCTTCCTTCTTCTTCCCTCAGCTTTATATGCTGAGCATGACGTCATACGGTATGGGATAACCCGTTGGTCAGTTGGGGTCAGCTGTCCCAGCTGTGACCCCTCCCAGCTTCTTGTGCACCCTCAGCCTACTTGCTGGTGGGGTGGTGTGAGAAGCAGAAAAGGCCTTGACTCTGTGTCAGCGCTGCTCAGCAATAATGAAAACATCCCTGTGTTATCAACACTGTTTTCAGCACAAATCCAAAACATAGCCCCATACTAACTGCTATAAAGAAAATTAAGTCTATCCCAGCCAAAACCAGCACAATTGTATAGATTTCCAAGAGATTAAATTAATGTGTTTTATCTCAGCTGGCTTCCAGTTCTTTAATGGTCAACAATCTGGCAATATTTTTAAAAAGGTAGCATTACCTTTTAAAAAAGATTAAGTCTAACGTGTTTAATTTATTATTTGTCTACTTAAAAGCAGGATTTGAGTTACTTTTTTGTATATGCTGATATGATTATCTCTTAGAAGTATTAAAAGAGCCTGAGATATTTCTTGCATAGTACGTTTGTTAAAAGGCATAATAGATCACATTTTGATACAAACTTAGTCAAGGTACTGTATGTAGGGCAATATTTTAGGATATAGACATGTGGACATCATAATGAGATTTGGTTAAATAAGCCTGACCGCTTATGTTAGCGTTAAGTTCCGTACTCTCTGAATCTTCAAACACTGATTTAAGACAGACAAAATGTAACTGTTTCTGTAGTTTAAGAGGGTTTCCTGCCATATCTGTATAAATAGAAAATATTCAGTCCATAACAGGCTTGTTCAATTTCTATAAGACTAAACATACCCTCCAGGATGTTCTCTAAACTATCTGTGGGGATATACAAGAACTTGGAAATGTTTACCAGTTGGATATTTGAAGTTAGCTTCTGAAGGCAATATGCTAGATATGTTTAATTATTTTGGTTTTGTTTTTGTTACAGATGATTTTCAGACAGCCCAACTCTTGGCATTAATACTGGAATTGCTAACTTTCTGTGTAGAACATCATACTTATCACATAAAGAACTACATCATTAACAAAGACATCCTGCGAAGGGTACTCGTTCTCATGGCCTCAAAGCATGCTTTCTTGGCATTGTGTAAGTTTGAAAGCTAAGGAATAAACTAGTATTTTGTGAGTGTGCAGCGTTACATATCTTCATTCTGCTGAAAGAAAACTGTTCACAGATCATGACAATTTCTGACTGAATGCAGAAATTCTACTATTATACTTTGTGTTTCTCATACCAATTTATAGATATGTCAGCTAGTATTAGTAAATAATTTTGCATTTATAGATGTCTTTTTTTTTTAAAGCAGAGGATTTTTCTTAATCTCAATGTAGAGGTGAATTGAAAAGATGGCATCTCAATACTGAATATCCTAAGAGAGTAGTTGTTGTTGTAAGTTTTGATTTTTTTTTTTTTTAGTAGAAATTATCAGAGGTATTAGAGATACAGTTATCTGACTGCATTAAACAGCACAGAAGTTCAGTGTGTTGCTCTTCAAACTCTGATAGTTTCTTCACCATGCTCAGCACAGTAATAGCAAAGCAGTGTGACTTAATTCTGGAGGCAAGTAAGAGATTTTTTTCCACGATTCTGTTGCGCACACAGAGTAAAACAAAGCCTAATGTTGACTAGGCAGTACCACACAATAAGAAGTACCTTTTAAATTTGTAACTAAATCACCTGAGTTTGGTTCTAGAACCCTTGAATAATCTTTTTTCATGTACACCTGGTTGCTAACCAAAATGTGCTGCCTTATAGCGAGATGATACTCTACTCTCTGTTTATGCATGGATATTCATATGCTTGTGTATGCTTTGGAGTTTTAGAAAGAGCTTTAAACTGGACATAAATTAAGTCTTTGCTTTACTGTGTGTGTGAAGAAAATGTCATTTACCAATTTTAAAATGACATAGTTCACATCCTAATCAAGTAGCACTTAATTAAATGTTATCAAACTTACATTTGAATAATAGGAACGATAAGCAAATTTCCCAGTTCTACTGAGAAAATATTTTACCTTTATCGTAAGTAATTTAAAAAATCAAAAATACACCTTTATGTTAGTAGTAATATAGTTAAACAGTACTATATTATTTCTTCAGTGAACAAAGGTGATTTCAATTGTATGATTATGATGGAGGATTTCTTTATGATAAATAAATAAGTAATCTTCAGCAGTATAGTCAAGACTGTTGAGAAGCAGAGAATAGCTGAATTTATTACCTGGTCCTAATAATGTAATGCTGTATAAGAACTGAGACTGCAAATTGCCCTAACTAATGCTGAGTAATTTCTGGATTTTTTTCTTTTAAATTTAAAAATTCTTTTGACAACACTTCTGTTTCAGGTGCCCTTCGTTTCAAGAGAAAGATAATTGGACTAAAGGATGAATTCTATAACCGTTACATAATGAAAAGTTTTTTGTTTGAACCTGTGGTCAAAGCATTTCTAAATAACGGTTCTCGTTATAATCTGATGAACTCTGCCATAATAGAGATGTTTGAATTTATCAGAGTGGTGAGTGCTGTTATATCCTGAAGATAATTACTGTATTGTTTAATCTTGTAGTTCAAGAAGACTTTTGTTTTTGCTTGTACCCTAAATTATGCTTAGTGATGTGACCATATGATACTGTATTTAAATGAACTTTCTTTTGTATCAGTTACATATTTGTACATATTCTTTCTTATGTTCAAACAGTACCATGACTTGAAAATTAACTTCACTTGGTACTCAGTGTACTCACGGTATCCAGATTTGCAAAGGCAGCCTTAATCAAGTTTCATCATTCAGATTGGATGGGCCTGTTATGACAGGAATGTAATTTGAAATTACTGCTACAAAACCATCAAATTTAGTTGTGCTCTGTAATGTCAATTCAACAGAATATGGAAACATACAGAAGAGATACCAGTCTTTTTTGATTATATTAGTGGAGTGCTACAAAGTTCCTTTCATGGGGAGTCTCTTAAAATATTCACGCTAATTTGGCTGTCTGCACAGTACTGTTTCCTCACTGTTGTCTGCATCCAGATTCTGACAAGATGCTGTACAGACTGTAAATGTGGTAAGTGGGGCCAAGCTAGGGTGCAGACAGTCGTGGAGGAGTAAGTGGGTGAGGAAAAAAGGAGGCTTTGTCACCTCTTGAAATCTTCTGTGCTGATGACCTCCTTCCTCTTTGAGTTGGGACTCAAGGTAATTCAAGACTGAGATGACTTGATCATCATGGAAGAGTTGATTTAAAAATGGTTTTGAAGCTATTAAAAAAGCTAATCCATACACGTGGCCCTGACTTTTGTGCTGTGGTCTTCCAGTACTCCATGGGATTGTGTGCTGATTCTACTGTTCATGCTATGAAGAAGTAAATCATCTTTTATTTTCTTACCCTCCTTTTCACATAGAAACCCAGGTTGCATTTCCAGAATACTTCTTGGTATCTGGAAATAATTTTTGTGAGTTTTATTTCATTCAGGTTTATTATTAAAGAGTTCAAATTAAAAAAATGTGCTTTTGTTATTACTGATGTATTACCATTCATAAGAGGTGACCTTTGAGCGTATAACCAAAAAAGAAAATAACAAGTGTAGTAAGATTTATGTTGCTTTGCTTGTCCTTAGTAGGCGGTAATTCAGGTGTTTATTCTGCAGTGTATTCCAGGGGCTCATCCTAAACAAATGTTCTCATCCTAAACAAATGCACTGAATAATTATTTTTACATAAGTAATTTGTTTGCAGTGAGAAAAGAAACAATATGAATGCTAAGTCTTTATCTCATAAACATATTCTTTAATTGACTGATTACAACAGGTATCAGTTAGTCTATCAGTATAAAAATGTAAGTTACAGTAGGAAAGACCTTTTAGAATTGGTTTTGGTATAATTTTCTATCGGGTTTTAGGTTCTATTCATGGGTTTTGAAGGAGATACTGCTAGAAAATTGCTGCTATTATGACTGTTTCACTAATCAAATATTTGAAGCTCTAGATTTTTAACTACATTTGTATGCATAATACTCATTTTTACATACGCTAATTAATTTGATGCTTCCTATGAAATGTTTAAAAATAATCTCTCATTTCAGTTACTTTTTATATTGTATTAAATAAATTCATTTGAATGAAAATAAGTCACTTTGTGTTTGTTCATTCCTATAGGAAGATATAAAATCATTAACGGCTCATGTAATTGAAAATTACTGGAAGGCACTGGAAGATGTAGATTATGTGCAGACATTCAAAGGACTGAAACTACGATTTGAGCAACAACGGGAAAGACAAGATAATCCAAAACTTGACAGGTAAAATGCGCTAAATGCTCTTATTCATATATCAGTGCTTTAATTCTGTTTTAGGAATATTGGTGGGTTGTTGTGTGATAGTGAGAAATGTAAGTAATTTAGACTCCTGCTTGCATCTAAGGCATTGTTGAATTTACTTGATTAATAGTGTGATTTTGAGATGTGTTGCTTCAAACTCTTGATCAGCTTTCAGCTAACGTATTAGTTGCTGGACTCCCAGTAATAATGCTAAGTTGTCATATCCTAAACTTATGTACACTACTGTAATGAGGTTGGAAGCCTATCAAGTATCTGAAGTTCATTTGCTTAAATAACAGATTCCCACTGTTTGATTTGAAAGATGTTCAGTTGCGAATTATCATACTGTGGATTTTTCCTTCAAAAATTCACATCAGATTTCCTTTTATTTTAGTTATTTGTGGGAGTAGATATTTAGATAAGCTCTACCAAAGTGATTGAGAAACAGAATATACAAAGAAATTTTCAGAGGATGCTTTTTTATCACTGTTAGATTTGCTGATGGAGTAAAAACCAATCTGATGTAACACTTGAATCACTCCTCCTGTTTGCCCGAGCAAAAGTTCTGTTCCTTAGTATACAGTTACCGAAGCTTAAAAGGTTAGGGTGTATAAAAATAGGAAGTTTAGGACTTTTTACTCCATTTATTTTTGGCAAATGGTGTTACTTTTATGTGTAATTTCATTCAAACAAAATGGACTGCTTGTGTGAGGAGATGAGTTACTCTTAAGAATTGTTGGCAAGATCTGTTCTTGTTCTGTTGTCTTGAATTAGTTTGAAAACACATTAAAAAATTAGTCCTGATTAGTCATATTAGGACATGTTGAAATTTCAGACTTTTAGGTTCTTTTATTTCCTGCCACAAGATTTCTTAACCAGTATTTAAATTTGAGACTTGTACAATTAAAATGAGAGTATAATCATAGATTTGTTTTAAAATGTTGAAGCATTTTCAAGAGTATGTGCGGGAGCTGCAGCTTTGAGTACTAGTGTTTTACAGGTGAGATGATATTATTTTGGCTTGTGTCAGCTAAGCTTATCATTTAAACAGCTGTGAAGCTGTGAAGCCTACGATTCTTACGTAAATGCATCTGTTGGAAGGAACACCCAGCCACTTCCTTCAGTGATTTCCACCCAGTATAGGAAGTAAAACTTTTCGTCTTTTCTTGGCTTAAGTTGAGCTAAGTGATTGTGTATCGTTGTGCCGCATGAGTTTATCTAACAGAAAATTACAGCTTCAAGAGGTTTGTAGCTCAACCAGCCCGGTTTTTATCTTCTTCCTACATCTTATATAGTGGCTGCACAAGCCCTGTCACAGTCCATGTAATAATTTCTTAAGTGAAAACCCAGAAATAATAAAATGCAAAAATAACAAGAATCTGTTTACACATTTTAGCAAAGAATAGTTCAGTAAGGAAGGAGGCCAAAAATTTTGTTGATGTGGGCCACAAAAGTATTCAGAAGAGTGCCACTTAAGTAATAGTTTTGCACTATTAGCAGAACTTGAATTTAAATGCAATGTAAAATGATGCAGTATGTATAGATCCAGATGATAGTGTTGGCAAGCAAGTTATTCAGAATTAGATTTATTTTTAAAAGTACATTTAGCGTTCTTATTTAATACCTTGTAATTTCCTAATTTTTCCCTTCTGGCTTTTTCCTGCAGTCAGTAATGCAAGACCTTTTCTCTAAATAGAATAAGCCTAAATTGTATTATTAACATTCTGATTCCAGTAACAGAGACTTTATGAAAAACATTAAATTTCAGACTTACATTGTGGCCAGTAAATTTTTGAAGAAGTGCTACAGAAAATTTGTCAAGGTTTTCATGCTTTTGTTGGAAATTGACTGTTAGAATCAACATCTAGCAATGAAAAGAGTGTTTTCAACCTCTCTTCCACTTCTCCTCCTCCTGTTCTTCAGGGTGCACAACACTGTCCCTGTCCTCCAAGGCCATAATACTGCTTCTGTGAGAAAAAAGAAAAGGAAGGTGGAGCTGAGATAGACCAACACTAATAATAGATCAAATGGGGAGGGAGAAGTAGCATTTTGTATCCAAGGCTCTGAAGAATAGAAAATACTGATAGTGACCAAAAATTGTAACAGGTGGATATGGCAGAAAGAGACAGCTGTCTTTTTAAACTGGAGTCATATTTAAGTTACATTTTGGATTTTTTTTTTTTCTTTAACACATTGGACCCCAAATACTGACGAGTTATAAAGTGTTTTCAGAAAAAAGTCTATATAGTTTCTAAATTCTTTGTTTTACAACTTTTTATTTACCAGTGCTAACTGTTAAACCAAGCTTGAATGCAACACTTCAGTGACATTTATTAAAATTACTTTTAATAGTGCTGTTTGTAAGCTACAGAATTTTGGACAGATAGAGTAGTCTGAAAGTGCTATTAGCAGAGTTGTACTTTATTTGATTCTTTATGAAGAAAAGTTTTTAATGATACTTGCATTGAAAATACAAAGATTCACATTACAGAATGTTTTGCTGGTATTTTTATTGCTCTACAATATTTGTATCTGTAAGCTGTCACTGTAAACGTCGAGTAGAAGTTTTATTATTAATATTAGTTGTTTTTTCAATCAAAAGTTTTAAAACTTACTGTTCTGCAGCATGCGCTCCATTTTGAGAAACCATAGATACAGAAGGGATGCAAGAACCCTGGAGGACGAGGAGGAAATGTGGTTTAATACTGATGAAGACGATATGGAAGATGGAGAGGCAGTGGTGCCCCCTTCTGACAAAACTAAAAATGATGAAGATATTATGGACCCTATCAGTAAATTCATGGAAAGGAAAAAATGTAAGTGATGAGAAGAAGAATGCCATAGGGCTTATGCAGAAGCCTTAACTTGTATTCTTCAGTCCTCCTGCAATGAAGGATTTATTCATGTATTTATTCTGAAGTTCTTAGATTTTGAAATTGTGACACCAAGTTGATGGACCAGCCCTTTAAAACAAGTTTTGTTGTCTTTAAAAGTGGAATGATACAAAATATAGTTGTTGATTTCTTAAAGCATTTGAATGACAATCTTAGCTGATAGTCAAGTTTTCCTGTGTTTTATTCAGGTTTATAATTCAAAATTTTCAGTGTAAATGTTCAGGTGATATTATTGGTAGAATAAAAGTCTTCATTCCTGGCCAATGACAACAGCTGGTAGGTGGTATAGTAGTATGAGAGAAAAAAAAAGTCTATGATGACTCACTTTACCAAGTTGTACATAAAGTATTAAGCCTTGTCCCACACAGTAAAGTGATTTGTAATTAAATGTTTTGCTCAATAGTACTGCTTTACTTTTGCCTTTCTGTGTGTGTGTTTTTTTTTTCTCTCCAGTAAAAGAGAGTGAAGAAAAGGAAGTTCTTCTGAAAACTAACCTTTCAGGTCGTCAGAGCCCAAGTTTCAAGCTTTCCTTTTCCAGTGGTACAAAATCTAACCTTCCCAGCCAGTCATCTGCAAGTAATCTGCCTGGATCCCCAGGGTCTCCTGGATCCCCAGGGTCCCCTGGGTCTCCAGGATCAGTTTCTAAAAGCACATCTCAGATGGCAGCTATTACAACTAAGGTAATTTTGAATGGACATAGGTTGACTTCATTGTTGCAGACTAGGAATTTGCTTTAGCATCTCTCTCAAGTTTGTGTGAATTCTGACACGTTAAGCAGTAATGGACTGTCTGGTTTGTGTGTACTTTTTGTCTGGCCTTTAGCATTTTTAAGGACATCAAACTTGTATATAAAAAGAAGAAATAAAAGCTCTTTCAATGCCAAAACTCTTGAAGTATGAAGCATACAACTAGCTGCTGTCTGCAGTGATCTTCACTGTGAAATACAGACAACGCTTTACTTTTGTTAAATTGCACAGAGATATTTGGCAGGTAGAAATACAGAAATACTTCAGAAACATTGCCAAATTTGGCCAGACTCCACGATGTCCCACCACCCCCATTGAGAATTTCTACTGTTACCATTTTTAATATTGTTCAGAATGATATAACTGGCACATGTGAAAGAAATAAACTGTATTATGGAAGGGTGATTTCTGTAAGCCAAAATGTAAACAATTTTTAATATCCTAGCATGACTTTTTTACCTTTTGAAATAACATATAATTTTGCATTGGAACAGATTGAAGTAGAAGAAAGCCTGTTTAAAAGAGTCAGTATAACTTGCAGTGAATATCCAAACCCAGCATTTTTAAATACATTTTAGGACACTGTTGAATTTTACCAGATTTTTAGCTAAAACTCTATTTAAACCAAGTCAGGGAAATAGAGTGACCAGTGTTTTCTCAGCACTGGGGGACAGATAAGGTAGTGTTGGTACAGCATAGTTCAGATAATGAGAATTTACTATCATAACAAGTGTTTCCATTTCTGAAAGGTCAGGTATGTATCTCAGTTCTCAGGTAGCTGTGGAATAACTCTGATTCATCCTTATTTTTTAATGCCACTATACTGCTTGTTCACCTAACTTCTAGTAAAGGCAAATGGGGTTTTAGGTTTTTTCTTTCTTGTAGTAGAACATGGCTTAAAAGTTTGTGTTTGGATTACCTTCTGTTGAAAACACCTGAATGAGAAGAGTTTGGCTGATGGAAGAACTAAGTGACACTTCCTCTAAATCCTTCTGTGGAGGAAGGGGAAGCAGATTTATTTCATTTATGAAAAAAATCCAGTAGTTAGTCAAGTGCTTTTTAAAAGGGATAGAATTGGCTTGGAATTTAGTTCAGTCTATTGTGTACTTCTGCTGGAGGCTTGTTCTCTCCCAGACAGTATAATTCCTTGAATCTGAAATGGAGTCTTTACATATGGAGCATATTGCTTACGGTATTGGCTCCAAAATTTCAAGTCGTGGTGGCAAAAGAAAAATGTTCAGGTTACACTGAATATGCAGGTGCACTGCATGGATTCAGGCATAAGCTACCTTCTTTCAGTAAAATGTACGCTGTTTATAAATGTGCCACAGTCGCAAACTAGAAAAACAGTGTTGAAACTGGGTTTTTCATTATTTATCTGATCCTGTTACTTTATGTGCAGTATACTCAGTGTTATGTTGTATGTGACTGTACAGAATGTGTGTAATTGTTTATTGAGTTGTATTTTGGTATACAGTTTTTCTGGTTTGGACGTCTGTCATTAGACACCTGAATAAGTAATATGATCTTTAAGTGAAGTACCAGTAACTGCCATTGTAGTCAAATGCTGGTTAAGCTTCAGAAATTGCAATGTACTGTAGTTAGAGGAAGTTTTAGAAGTTCCTGTCGCTTCTTCATGGGTCCAGGGCTGCCTAATCTTAAAATCTGTAGTTATTTGCAATACAAGGGAGTTTTTAATGTTACTAAATATGCTTTCATTTTCAGCTGCCAAGTTGTTTAAATTTTGTAACCTGTACACCTCATTCAATTATATTATACAAAAAATGCTTTAAGTTACTACACATTTAAACTAGCTTTTGTGAAGACAGACTGTGTTCTAAAAGTATCGTAATTCAAAAATTCAAATTGAAGGATATTCTGTATTTGTTTCTGAAGCGCTTCCATATTGTTCATTGCTGCAGTCAGCTTTGCTTGGTAAAAAAGAAACCTACATCTTTACAGATAGAGCTGCAGTGACACTTAGCAAAACTAAGTAGATTTTTGGATTTTCTTAAATTTCAACTGAAAATATTTCTATCCAGTTGGATAAATAAAACCACATTTTGGATTTATTCATTTAAACTTTTTTCAGACGATGTCATTTTCATTCATACTGAAGGATTTATTTTTGTTCTGCTTCATTTTATTCAAAACTTCATGAATCAGTATGCTTATGGCAATATTCTGTGCAAACATCAGTTTCCAACACAAACATGAAGTATCAATGTGCAAACTTTTGCTTAATTATAGTAATTGTGTCTGTCTTTGTAGGGAGGCCTCGTTGGGCTTGTCGATTATCCTGATGATGATGAAGAGGATGATGAAGATGAAGATAAAGAGGAAACTTTACCTTTGTCAAAGAAAGCAAAGCTTGAGTCATCATAATGGCAACTGCTGAAGAACATTATCCGTTGGGGGAAGAATATTTTTTCCAAAAACAAAACAAACCACAGCAAAGCAGCAATCTTCTGTGAATTACTGTGTGTGACACAGATCAACCCATACAAACGGATTTCTGCCAATCAAGTGCCAATTCAAAGGAGCAGAAGAAGGGGAAATATTTCGTTTAGGGGAAAGACTTACGCCTTTGAGCTCTCCAGCTTGGACCACATGTTGCCCTTTTCTCAGGGAAGGAAATGGAAAACAAAAAACAAACAAAAACACAAAAAAGCCAACAGGGCAGGAATTTTGTTAGTGGAACTCTGGATTGGCTGGTCAGTTGCTACAATCAGAATATGCTTTCTTGGACCATGTATGAGACTTCTGAAGAAAAGGCGGTTTTTGCCATAATTCTTCACTAGTTAAGAATGCCAGCAGTTTCTTTGTATAAAAGAGACCTGCCTTTGAAATCGTACATTCTGAACATTTTAGTCAAGCTACAACAGGTTTTAAAAACCTCTACGGGGGAGGGCCGAATATAAAGTTTCCTCTTTTTTTTTAATCTGTTCCCTTTGCCCTTTAAACTGCAGAATTTTTTTGGAGGTGGGGGATTTGTTTGTCCCTTCTTGATTAAAGATTGAGTGGAATTCTAGATGTGGTCACTTTTGTGTCATAATTTTTTTTTGCCCCCCTGAGTGTATGCTTAGTTGTTGAGTATATATTTGGGACCATTAAAATTTTTTGATGTAATATAATCTCACTGTTGTGCTGGTACCTGTTTCACCCTGTGTAATTTTGTTCTGCATCACAGTTCTTAATATGTTTAGGATTTTATGGAAGATGGTATAGTTTTTATTGGAAAAAAAAAAATAATCTTACCACAATGTGCATAAAAGCAATACTATTTTGTGACTAAATATTTTATATTAAATTTTACATCAGCAACTGTCGAGAAGAAATTCAGGGAAATAGAATGGAATCAAAAAATTGAAGCCTATAAATATGAAATTAGTATTCCAAAGAGACTTTGAAATTTCATAACTGAGAACAATGATGGTAGACTAACACATCAAAATGCAAGATGGATGATTTAGGAATACCAATATATTGACTCATTTGACTTACAAAAATAAAAAAGAAATAATTAAAGCTGAAGGAAAACGGCATTAGTGGTATTTTTTTAAAAACTCTGATTCCCTTTGGAATACCAGTTTTAGTGAGTTAAAGATGGTTGTAGAATAAACTCTTTACAAGAATACCATCTTTCGAAATTTATTCTAATACTCAATTGAAAAACAGCAATTAAACTGTGGGTCTAACTCAATGACTACATTCTTTCCCCTTTTTCCAAAAATGTAAATAATACTAATTATTAATTTGAAACTAAATGTTATATCCTGCTTTCTTACTGCTTTTACAGAAGATGGTTTTGATTGCACAGCAGTGCTTCCTGTGAAGGGGAGTTTATTCAGTTCCTTTGCAAACAAGAGACCCCTTCTTACATATATTTTCAAGAGTTGATTTCCTTTTAGATGTTCAAAGCACCAATGTTGCAACAATCATGATGTTACACATTAATGTATCACATACAAATAGAAATAAGAGGAATGAAAATCTGAGGCTGGATCATACGTGATCACACCCAAGTGTAGATTAGCACTTTGTTTCTGAAAATTGTGGGTTGCGTGGCAGATTCTATGCTAACTACAAATGTCAAAGCTTTTGTGCTTGGACTTTATTAATACATATTAGTAATTTCAGATTTAAATAAGAGTGTGCATTAGGGAAAAATAATTAGCCATCTCTTTTCCTCAAAAAATTCATTTGAAATCGCTTTCCAAGGTTGAGTTTTTACAATGTGTTTGAAATGTTAGTCACAGAGCAGTTCTCAGCAGTAAATTTTACAGAGAGTGCAAGAGTTGAGCACTTGGTCACTACAAGACTAGACACAATCTTCTGCTGCAGTATGAGAGTCCCCATGCTGTCTCAACAAACTGTCTGAAACCTGGTTTTTTGCAACTTCGGTGTCAGAGCAGACATCGTGATAAGGAAATCTGTAATTTTGCAGGTTTTCTTAATTAGCCTGAATTTAAATCCTTCCCAATCTGTCAGACTTTTCTTGAGCATATAAAGCTCTCAAAATTTATCCATATAGTCATCTTCATGTCCTCCAGACTGTATCTCAGGAAGTCATTCTTCTGACTTGGTTGAAGCAACATTTTTTGTTTTGGTTTGGTTTTTTTTTTTGGTTTGTTTTTTTTTGTGTTTCAGCTATGGAGTGCTTGATCTTGTGATGTTTGATGCTACAGTCTTCTGAACTTTCAGATACTTTTGTAATACTTGGATTGTGAAAGGAATCTTGGATCTTGGACTTTCAGTATTTGAAGCATTACATTTAACAGAATACTATCCTTAAATTACTGGGTTCGGTCAAAATAATAATGGAAGTAGGAATATTTTTGAACTTCTTATATTTTTATGAAACTAAAGGACTGGTAAAATATTAAGCTGCACATCTTTTAATGCTGTCTAACTTGTAGTAAGATGGTTAGTTGTCTTCCCAGAGATCTCATGCTTGTGGCCTGACAGGACATGTCTACACTTAGATGATATATTCATGGAAGTTGGAAGGAGTCAGGAAGTAGGTGAGTTGGGGGCAGGGGTGGGTATGCTCTTGCCCAGTGACTTTCACTTTTGTATTCATGGAAATCTTGAAATATATTTCAGGAAAAAAAAAATAGTGGGATTGTGAAAAGTGATGGATATTAAAAAAAAAGTGGGTATAGGTTAAGAGATGGAAAAAATGGTGTTATAAAACAGTGTTCCATTCTAGACTTTTCTCTGGGCTGATGGATTTTTTTATTGTTAGTTTTAATACCATTTGTCCGCATCCCGAGAGAGCTGCCTGTATATTGTATTAAACATGGCTTGGTTGTCTTAATTGCATTTTAACTGCATCCTTAAGTATGGTTTACAGGGTAAACTCTTAAGTATTGTACAGGCAAGATGCAACATGCTTGAATCATCAGTACAGGCCCCTATATTCATTCAGTCATTGAAAGACTTGATGCTGGTTACTCTGATGTTCCCAGCTTTGAGCCTAGGTTCACTGGGGATACCAGACAAAAGTATATAGAGTACCTGGTCCTCCAAGGAAGCACACCCTTACACTGATAAAAGTAATTTCAGGTAATGTGGAATATTTCCAGATTTTCTTCCACAGTACACAGAGGGCAGCTGTTTTTAGGTAATGGTGCACATCACCGAAAAACGGATCTCCTATGTCGTGAGGGCGGAAGGATCTGAAAGTTGGTGTATCTAACAGTAAGTTGCCTCTAACTGTCTGTAATACACCCACTTGGTAAACAAGATCAGGCTGTTCATCTGTCTCTTATAGCCCACCCAGATGAGAAGTCATGTTTTCATGGAATTAAGTGTCAAGTAGGCCCAATCCTTTTAACCAAGGATGAAACTGTTCAGATCAGTGTGTGTTTTTACGTCTTTGCATCTCTGCAAATTTCAGAAACTGTTTAATTAGATAACTGATAAGAGTCTGTTCTCATATTGCTGCTGTGGCTCCATTAGGGAATTAGCTACCTTTCAACCCAGCACAAGTTACATCGGTTGCCTGGCTGAATTATGGTTCCTAGCATCTGTAGAGTGGGCACAGAAGTTCAGCCTTACCTTTATCAACCATTTTACAGCTACAGAGTCATCCTGGAGCAATGCTGTCTGTGCTAGTACTGCAGTTTCCCTGCCTTGAGGGTATTGAGACCCATTCCAGGTAAGTTGTGAAAGTAGGAGACCAGATGGGTAACTGCTTGGGCTCACTTGCAGTGTAAGTGTAAAACCAGGCAAGCATTCAAAGAAGAGAAGTTACCAACAACTGAAGTTTTTCAAGATAAGTTGTCCGTGCACATGTTCTCCACCTGCTCCTACTGCTTTCTCTTTTTGGAGTCCAGAAGAAAAGTAGGTATATACAGCTTATAGTTCAGTCCAGAAAGGAGGCAGGACAGATAAGGCAAAACTTTCTGTGGAAGGATTTGTAATGCCTGCCTTCAACCATAGCCGCAATTTAGTCTGTTATTTGTGTGAGGGATGCATAACTTACTATATTTTCATAGGTGGCTGGCTATCTGGTGAGCTTGTATCTTGATTTAATACTGCTCTAGTTGCAGTCACATTCATTGGAGCGTATAAATCTTGCGGGTTTTTTATATAAGTGGAAATTAATAAAGCTATTCAAAGCTGAAATGAAACCCTGCAGACTCCTGGAAAAAAGGCAATCTAAAAAAGGGAGGGGAGAGATGTAGTCTTTTGTATGCTAACTGTATCTATGAACAATGTAAAAATAATATATAAACCAGTGCAGAATAAAAAAAAAGGCAGGTTGAATGCTACTGGCAAACAATTGAAATAGCTACTGATTTACAGTGATTTCAGACCTGTGCCTCGCTGTGCACTGTTGCATCTCCCAGAGATGTAAGGTATCTGTCTATCTCAGAACTCTGAAATGGCTCAGTGTGAACATCTCTTCGTGGTTTAGATTGAGACCTGGAAATTATTCGGTGTAAGGTGGAATTATGCTCACAAAATGTGCATCTGTAATATAGACGGGATGATTTGGGCTGAATAACGTTGATTTTGATACTCCACTTGTAAGCAACTTTAAATTACATGCATAAAGATACTGTATGACTATATGTGGGCTGCCCAGCTGAAAGGGTTCAGAAGCATTCAGTAGTCGCCTGTATCACTGTTCATTAACATGGCTTCTGGAAGTGCGCGCATACCGGAGCACTTACATTATGCTCCTGAGTTTTCAGACGAGGCTAGTCTTTTCTCTTGTGTTTTGGATGTATGCTTTAGTGGCTGAAATCTTGGAAATTTGATTTTAAAGTGTACTTACCTCAGTAAGGCTTATTGGTTGAGTGGCCTTTTGACAGCTGTGGTGTTGAGATGGAGGTTGATCCTGTTAGGTTGGAGAGTTCAGTACAGTTTTCCATCCTCCTGGTGAGGCCAGAGTCTATCACTGAATTGGTGTTGAATGGTCAAGGATCCCTGAAGGAAGCTATGATCGGGGATGTGCAATTTGTTAATCTCACCATTCAGCAGTTTAATCTCACCATTCAGCAGTATCTGATCGATGTTGTGACTAAGGATGTGGAGGTAACTGGAAGCAGCTCCTGATGAACCGATTCACAGAGGTCTATGCTAACAACAAAAGTCTGTGCTAACAACAATGAACATTTGGGAGAAGCTTTAAAAAACTTGCATTTCCAATCTGCTGCTACTTTTACACGTCTGAAAACGGTGTTAACTTAGATCATCTTATCCTGAAAAAAAGCTTGTTTCACCCCATGGCTCCCCCCACCTCCACGATCCCCCCAAAACAGAAGTGACTTCCTCTGCTGCCAAGAGTTGGGATTTTGTAGATTAGCCAGGAGAGCTGGAAGCTGCAATTCTTATTGAAGAAATAACTGCTGATTAAAACCAACAACAGAGCACAGCTCTTAGCATGTTTGAGTTTAGCCTCAAAATGGAAATAAATCTACGTCTTCAAGGTCTAGATTACCTGCAGTAAGAAACAAGGAAGATGTAAGTGTTTGTTTTTCATGGGCAGGAGAACTAAGTACCAAAGCTAGTAACA